GTAATAATTCTGGTGGCAACTATTACTGAGGGGTGGAGCAAGGAAGGTGTTGAGTTGTTTCTACTTTATTGGGCAAAAACAAATTGGACTTTATCAATTGATCATATACCAATAACATGGACAATTAGATACTAGTGTGAAATGAAATCTTCCAAAGTGTAAAGTGAGAAATATTGAGTAGATACTCAAAAATTAAGTACACATTACTCAATGGGAAATTAAAATCAGAGCTTTTTCTACTACTATTTTCTTTAATGGGTGAAATATAAGGAGAAAGGATAAAATGTATCAAGCATTTATGTATGTTAGGTTCCTATTGTGGCTGTAAAAAATTACTACAAATTTAGGGTTTTAAAACAACAAAAATTTATTTTCTTAACATTCTGTAGGTCAGAAGTCTGACTTGAGGGCTTGCCCGGTGGCACACTGCTACAGTGAGCCGCTTGGGAGTGCGGCGGCACTCCCGCCGAGGGTTCGGATCCCACATACAGACCGGTTCCCGCTCACTGGCTGAGCGAGGTGTGGGCGCGGCACCGAGGGTTGCGATCCCGTTGCCGGTCCGGTCCGGTACGGGCGCGACACTGAGGGTTGCGATCCGTTGCCGGACACGAAAAAAAAAAAAGACAAAAAGGGAAAAAAAAAAAAAAGAAATCTGACTTGACTCTCACAGGGTTAAAATCAAAGTCTCAGTAAGGCTGCATTTCGTCCTGCAGACTCAAGGGGAGAATCTGCCTCCCATTCCATTTACGTTTTCTAGAACCAGCCCCCATTCCCTGGTTTGTAGACCTCTCATCCATCTTCAAAGCTGGCCATTGCAGGATGTCTTTCTCACACCACTCCTCTGACATTCACTTTTCTTCTGCCTTCTACTTCTATTTCTACTTTTAAGGACCCTGTCACTTGGGTAATCCAGTATAATCTCCCTATTTCAAGGTCAATTTACTAGCAATGTTAAAATCATCTGAAACCTTAATTCCCCTTTCCCATGTTACCTAGTGGACCATTATTTTGCCTTTCACAAAAGGCTTGTGAGGGCGAATATGAAGGGTGGCTTCTGCAGACTAACAGGGAGCAGAAGCCTCTGAATTCAGAACTGCCTCTGAATCCGCTCAGCATGGGAAGCTATAACACAGGCATGAGGGGATCCACAGAGCTTGCTTCTCCTCTCAGGGAGGTTCAACAGTGAGACTTTGCCACACTCCAAAGAAATAGGAAGTAAACAAAGGAAAACATTTCAAGGAGCAGCAAAAATCAATGGAGCAAACTGATCTGGTGTCGCTTCATTGATTCCCTCCCATTCAGCCGCTCAATGAGTTTTGTTTGCTACTCGCCAGAGATCATTTTCTTCCTTTTCCTTGTATTTACCTGTTCCACACTCCTGAGCACTTCAACACACTTTTGGTCCTAATTGTGATCACCAACTTTAGTTTCAACTGATCAGCTCATTCCAAATATTTTAAAACTCTTCCCATAAATGGTTTCTCAGCTCCGACCAGAAGCTCTCCAAGCCCCATCTCTCAATAGTATTTCAGAACTCAATGTTTGCTTGAAATCTTCCTTGAAATCTTTGTCTTTCTCGTGACAATGACTACTGAAATTCTATTAACACAACTTGTTACGACAGGAGGATTTCTAACCAGATAAGCTTTTCTGTTTGACTTCAAAATGGTTCAATAGACAACCCCAAGCAAAGAGTTTGAGAATATGTTTTGAAAATGGCCATATCATTAGAATAATTGTATAGTTTCTCAGGATTACTGCAGTTAGGGAGAAAATGACTGGATACAATGATTTTTACAACATGTCCATTTTATTTAGTGTTACTTTGGGAAATCTAAATATCTATGATTTTCCTCTGGACAAAAAGTAATCACATTACATTGTAATTCTACTTCATACATGATTTCAGCTTTAATGTAGTTCATTTTAGACTTTCACACAAAACAATAAATAGAAAATAACACACAGAAATACTTTATGTCACATGTGGCCACTGTAGTGATACTTTCTTCCTTAAGATATTCCCTAATACCAAATTAATTTGATTTAATATTCATCATACTTGCATTCCTTAAGTATCTAGATAGTTGATAAGAACTACTTATTGTAGAGGCAATTTAACTTTAAAAAAATGCTTTATCATGGTTTATATGGGAGAAAAGAAAGTTTAAGAAAACAATATCCATTTTTTTCTGTTTTTATTTTTGTTTCAACCTATTTGTTTTTATAAAATTATACATTATGTTATGAAGAGAAGCAAAGATAAAATGGGCACTGCCCTTAAAAAGACTACAACCCATAGGTAATATTCTTACAGTTAGTAGAGCATGTATTTACTATGTTTAGAGTAAACATCTATCCTAACGGCAATATTATTATTTATTATAGAGTATATGTTCTACCACTTTATGGGAAATGATGAATATTTGATTAATAATCCAGCTATACAGCTAATGAGTGAAAATATCATACCTCCAGGTGATAATTGCCCAGTTATAGTAGGAAACTTTGAAGATTTCAGACTGTTACTGGAAAGTGGCCCTAAATTGATACAACTCTTTTAGTACACCCACATCACACTTTCCAGTAAAACCAATATAGAGTAGCTAATAAATTTTATTAAACTAAAAAATAAAACATTCATCTAGATCATTACTATTTTTTGTTTAAAATTCCATGCATAATAATTTATTTCCTTTCTTATGGTAAATAAATGATTATCCAGTTGCTGGCAGTTTGAGACACTGGTTTGCAGCAAATGCTGAATGTAGATTTTAGGAAAGAAAATAAGTTTTCAATTTGGTGATCAGCAACTAGTTAAAAGTCATTTCCAAGCATTAATTTTCTGTTTAACCAAAATCTTATAAATTATCGGGGGAGACACTGGTTTGCAGCAAATGCTGAATGTAGATTTTAGGAAAGAAAATAAGTTTTCAATTTGGTGATCAGCAATTAGTTAAAAGTCATTTCCAAGCATTAATTTTCTGTTTAACCAAAATCTTATAAATTATCGGGGGTTTTAGATTTGGCCATTTAAATAACTAACCTAAAATATTAACAACCAAATCTAAGTTATTTTTCTTACTTCTAAATATATTTTCATAATTTGTTTAAATGTTTCTGTCACTGAATGGTATTGTTTACCACATACAATTTCTGTTTTTCCAGGATGGGTGTTGAATTGTTAAATATTTCTTAATATTTGATTCTTACTCAAAGGGGAAAAAAAGTCTAAGTTTAACAATACACCTTCTTTCTCATATCCACCAGGTTGTTGTAAATATACTGAGAATGAGACTCTAATTCAGATATCTTGAACCCCCTGAAATTTTATGTAAAATTTTGTGAGTATATATCTGCATTTATGAGGGGAGGCAATACTTCTAGTTTTTAACATTATTAAAGTCTATGACCACTGAAGCAAAAATTTTCAATATAAGGAAATCCAAAGGACAAGAATGAAAATCATGAAAGCTGTGATTATTACAGTATAAAAATAAACATAAACATCAATGGCCAAGAATTGGGTCTATTCTCAGTGGGGTTATCGATTGGTGACTTGTGAAATAAATGCTCTTTCTGGGTTTTAAAAACTCTCTTGATCAATATCAGAGCATCTCCTCATTTGCAGCACTTTCTTCCTCTCCTGTTACTCTGCTTCTTTACAGGAGAATCTCTGCTGCCTCTAACTTGGCAAGGGTGTAGAAGGGAATAAAAATAAAACCACATCTCTGATGTGCATAAATTGATCACTCCTAAGTAGTCACCATACATTTTTCTGCTGTAGTGCAGTTTTCATGTGCCAACCAGCAGATTCATGTTTGAGTTGATTCAGCGAGACTGCCTGAGACATGGCATGCACAGTCTCCACTGTATATGATAATGCCACATTCACAATGACAGTGGTCTAAGCCTCATGGCAGTAAATGCTTCTTGAGATACATTCAATTGCTGTTTAACTGAGTTTAGCCTTAGGTATGGAAGGAAAGTTGCTGATGCTTTCAAACATGTTTAAACATTTTAATATTGTCTTGGCATGTCAGCACGAGCTAGAGCACCCTTAGGTATAACACAGTAAAATCCTGTAATTAGAGGACCGGAATTTCTAAAGCTTTATATAGTAGCCCTCTGTTTGAACTTCTTAATTAAATGTGCTTACATCTCTGAAAATGCTCCTTTGAAGGGTTGTACTTGCACTGATATTGGTCTGTTTGTTATCCATGATAAGGAAACAGAAAAGAAGTGGAATTGTTTCCAGACCTAAAGCTATTATCTGGGATAGTTTATTTACTTCAGATAATGTAATACATCTATGATTATTATTTTAGTGATCTATTGCAGTATCAACAACTCTCCCCCCAAAACAAACAAGACAAAACAAACAAATGTAACTTAGTGGCTTCAGAAAACAAAAATTTATTAATTTGCACATTTCTGTGGATTGGCTGTGTGGTTCTTCAGATCCTTTTGCGTGGCTCACTTATGTAGCTGTGTTCACCTGGAGAGCTGGCTGGGGTTGGCTGACTGCTGGGTTAGCTGGTACGGCTAGGTCTGTCTCTCGGGTAGTGTTTTCTCTTCTGTGAGGCTAGACCGTGCTTTCTCTCAGGATGGCAATCTCAGCATTCCAAGGGTGAATGTAAAAGCTGCTAGGCCTCTCAAGAGCTAGGCTGGAAATGGCACAGTATCACTTCTGCCACATTCTAGTTAGTCCAGCTTCAAGGGGTGCAAAACAGAATCTACATCTGGACAGTAGGAGCAGTAATTCCCATTCCAAAGGGATATTCGAGGAAGATTAAATTTCTGGTTTTATTTTGCAATTTAAAAGAGTTATGTATGTACATCATGAAATCTGCATAACTTATGCTGAGTGGCCTTTTTCTTTTATATTATTTTTGATGTACGAATGATACATTGATTTTAGGTATTTGTTCTGCTTTCGTTGTCTTGCCTTGATTGTCAACCTCTTAGTCTTAGATCAACTTATTGCTAATTTTTGGTAGATCTTCAGAATGAAGCTGCTCCTTGCGCTGCTCATGCAGGCAAAGCAAGAAAGCAAGTCAGCAACCCGATATCTTCGGGGCGAGTTTCAAGTGAAATGACTAATTGTGAGTTGATCTGTTTAGGTTGTAAAGATAACTCCAAATAATAGATCATTTGCCCTCGAATTTTGAGCAACCATGACACACACTGAATAAATCTTCTTTAGCAAACTGTTAGTAAAGAAACAGTAGGAGGATGCCTGATGTAGAGTAACCAGGACCCGGTGGCCAGCATATGTTCCTAAATAGATGGTAGCTCTGGTGTATGGTAGACTCTATTAGCATAAATCCATTAGCACTACTGGAAAAGTAACTCAAATGTATATGCCTTTTTGGTTAACAATTGGTATTTATTCGACAATAAGTTATCTGAAATTCTTGGGGCCAGATATATCTCAAAATTAAAAATCCCTTCATATCTCAGAAAAGGTAACATCATGCATGAATAACATTATTTTAAAAACCTAACAGTCTAAGATTGTGCCCTTAAGTAAGCACACTATTTCTACAGTAACACACATAAATATTCACATCATGTGAGATAAATAAATAAATAGCCTTGTATTAGTTCAGATCAGGTTTGTTATAAACCTCTTATGAAAAAAAAAAACAACCTTTGGTTTTCTGAGCTTTTCTGAAGACTAAATTTAGATAAGAGATTGTGTACATGAAGTACCTCATATTTACTGAGTACTTAATATTTACTCTGTCAAGATTTATCTTAAGTACTTAACATAAATTAACACATTTAATCCTCATTAATTCTAAAAAGTTAATTGATTCTTATGCCCATTGTACAGATGAGGAAACTTAAATCATGCAATTGTTCACAGTCACATAGCAAGTAATTGACAAAGTTAGTATTTGAATTTAGGTCACCTGGCTCCTGAGCCTATTCCCTTAAACAATACCCATTTCATTCCTAGAAAACTAAAGAGAGAAAAAAAGCATTTCTACCTCCTTAAATCCCTTGAGCACCTATCACCTACTATTTACTGAACACCTGCACTGCAATAGACACCATACTGTGGGCTATTTATACTTTAACTCTTTTATCCCACAATAAATTGGGGAGTAGGTACTATTATCTCATACATGAGGAACTTGAAGCTCAGAGAAATTATATCAAAAGTCACACAGCTTATAAATTGTTGAGCCTAGAATCACACTCACCAACGCTGTGACTCCATATCTCCTGTTCTTTTCAAAAGTCACTGCCTTTTGAGGGAAAAGGGCTGTTGTAGAGGATGCTGGAGTAAGGGTTGAGTGAATACACTATCCTCATAGCCCCTTCTAATTTGGTTGGATCAAGTGATTCTGTGATCAATTAGAACACTCTTAGGAATCTTAACCTCCTTTTTGTAACCTAAGTGCCAGTCACTTACAGGTGTTCATACATGGAGAGGATCACAAACTGCTTGTCTGAGTCAGTGATTCCCACCCAGCAGTGATCTATTACGTGCTTGCCTACCTCGTCTTCCTAAATTTGCCAACCAGGAAAAAGGCAGGTATCTTTCAATTGTTTATATAAAAAAGCTGAGTCCAACTCAATGTGGTTTTTTTGGATCTTGTTCACTCATCCCTAAGCATTATTGACTACAATAACGATTTTCCAAATAACAAGTTTCAGCTAACCGACATTTATTTTTTTCTTCTCATTCCTATTATGTAAGGCAAAAATAAATAATTTTCTGACAGCTATTTTAAAATAAACTACTTTATTTGGGTAAAGGATATTTTCATTTGCAGTAATGAAATAAAGGTAGGGTTAAAATATTTGTTGGAAATCAGTTGCCACTTACCTTTCATTTTTCTTATCCATCGTTTTGTATAAACCTTTTTACAGTCCACTAAATTCCACTAGAATTTAATCATGCTTCTAGGGGAAAAAATGTCTCGTATAAAAGAAAGTCAAGAAGTATAAAAAGAAAAACAAATACTTGGTGCCTACTTTTTTCCCTTCTCTCAAAAAGAAGAAAATACCAAAATATTTCAATTGCAGAATTTTGTTAAGTAGTGTCAGAAATATGCTAGTGCTTGATTGTAAAAAACAAATTAGAGGAGTGGTGTGAACATCTGGGAAGTCTACATATTGATCTCATATGGTCAGCAAATTAAGCAAATAAGAAACTGATGCATATAGCTTTAAATATCTTAACGCTCAAAAAGAAAAACTCGTTGGAAATATTTTAAAACTAAATGCAATATTTTCATGCCTTCTCCTAGTAAACAGAAAGATTTGTGTATCTTCAGCCCCAAGCCAAGAACCCAGAGTAGAGTGAGTGAGTGTCCAGCATTCTGGTGGAATGCATAACTCAGCATACTCGAAATCCTTTCCTGGTACAGAGCTGTCTTCGAGAGTCTTAATGAGTTCACTGTGCTCTTCTGTAATGATGATGCCTCTAATGGTGTCTGAATTGTGTGGGACAGCTTCTGGAAACATTAAATCCCTCTATAGATCTGGGCTTTCCTTGTTATTTCTAATGATTCTATGTACTATCTGTCTGTCACTTCTTGTTGATGTCATCGTAACAGCATCTGGCCAGCATCTGCTCACCACCCACCCATCTACCCTGCTTAGTAAGAACAAAAACACTTTCTTCCAGGGAGAGAACTTGATTTCTTAAATTAGTCTATAATTTTTCCTACTTCAGGAAATTTATAGTTTTAGGGAAGGTGTACTTTTCACTAAGTAGTAAGGTTTGTGACCTTATCGCATCTATTTTCTATGCTGCTGAGAGGCTTTTTTCTTTCTCTGGCTATGGGATAGCAGTAATTGTCCTCTAAATAACTCAGCTGTTATAATTTAAGAAGGAGAAATACAGTGTAGTGGGAAAGTCAAACACTTGTTCTCTGGCCTTAGGTCTCCCAGGGTTGGAGCCCCTCGCCACTTCCATTCGACTGAAGGACTAAGTAAAAGGGATGAAATATGGGGAATTACTTTATATGCTATAAATTGTTCGCTATTGTGATGACTTAAAATTCTGTACTTTTGACAGATAAATTATGTCTAAGAAAGAACTTTAACTCTCCAAAATGATTTTAGTACATAGTAGAACTAGATAAAAATGGAGGAGTCTGTAGGCAATGTTAAACAAGAATACCATTTCTACTTCCAGTCTTCTCAACTGACATGATTGAGTCAGGGGAAAATATAAAAATGAAAAACCTCTAAACAATTGGCTTTATTGTGGGAAATTCTTATAGAGAGTATGACTATATTTCCATATAGAACATTTTATTTTGTATTTATTGATATCAACTAAAAGATTTGTGAGTAGCTGTTTTTCTTCTTCACTAAAGTTATAACTAAAGACAATATAATGCTAAACTCAAGCACAAAATATGGTCTTAAATGTTAGAAAATACATTCTTCAGTAAAAGATTAAGGGGAGTTCCTAGGTGACTCATTGCAGAAGGTCTGTCTCTAAAAAAAAATTGGACATTTAAAAAATATATGTTATGCAGAGAAGAAAATTGTATTTTATGATTCTCTAAGATCATATGTAACTTTTGTGTTTTAAAAAATGTATAATATATTCTCACATACTTAAATAAGAAAATATATAAACACAGAAAAATGCTATTCCACTCATGCCTTCCCTTAATAAATTGCATCATAATACAAATCTCATTTGTTAATCATTGTCATTGCTTTTGAAGATTCATTTCAGTCATCAAGATTGGAAGTTTTGATTGCTTGTGATGAATCTCTTATAGCCTTTCTTGATTATTTTCTAAATTTGATGACAAACGCTGCAACATGTCTTAGCCAATTAGGCTTATCAACTTCCACTGTGGTCCGCAATCAAGTGTTTGACTTTGGAAATGACAGGAGATCCTTATTAAAAGTCATGCTTCTTGGATAGAGATGTGGCAGCTCGCATGTGGATGATGGCACATAGGACAAGCTGCCTTCTGTTAAAGCAATAAGAGGAAATCAATTTTAGCTGGAAATACTCCAGACGGTGAACTGAAGACCAAGGGAAAGGATTGAAGAGCATCTCCCTTATAGTTGACTGGAAATTGAGTCAATCTAAATGAATATAATTTCTTATGAGCTTTAAGTAGCTAAGGTACACAAGTTAAACACAAGGGAAGAAGAGTTGTTAGAGAACCAATATAGTTCTACAAGCTGTTTCCAAATGCATTGCAAACAAAAGGACCACATGTGCAATAAATTTCAAACTAGAAACACAAATTAATCTCTGAAAAGCAGCCACCTGTGTAAGTAAGCCAACACATTGTGTGAGACATAAATAAACTTCGAGAGATGATTGGAGACAATTCTGGGTCATTTCTGTAGGGAATCACAACCACATTCATAAAGATTTTTCCTGTCTTGGCAGCTACATTTCTGATTATTTTCACATGTTCTGAATATACACCATCATTAAAAAAAGTTGTAATTTGTTTAAGTGGTGAAGAAAAAAAGATATGAGTTAAAAAGTAGACCTGATCTTATACTTTGCATTTTTATAAGGTCTTTTTTTGTTTGTTTTATTCTGTTCAAAACATTTAGGTCAACCTCAAAAACACTAAAGTATCCTAAGATGGGAAATATTCCCAAAGAACTTGCAGCTTGCTCATTTAAACCAACTAGATTACAAAAACCATTCATAAAATTTGTCAATAGTTTGATTTTTTTTAATGCATTTAAAATACGTATTTGAGAGACAGAGGGAATTTAGCATTAAAGAAAAAGAATGGGAAAGTGCTTTTTCTTTTGATGATAAAATTAAGAAGATTTGACTACTTAGAAATCAAATAGCAGCATGTGTGACTGCAATAAATAATTAGCTTTACGTTTTACCTTTGGGAAACAGTAAAGTAATTCTAGATTTCCTGTGAAGAACACTGGCATTTCCTTGTGAACTCTCAGAACACAGCATAAAAATTCCAGGCCACTTTGGTTCAAAAATCAATGGGCTGACAAATGTCAATATTTCAGTTATTCATCACTGAAGGAAAAAAAAAAATGACATTCATTATCGCAGAGTCTTGATTTAAAAGATTTGGCAGAGTAAAACTTTGGTTCAAAAATCAATGGGCTGACAAATGTCAATATTTCAGTTATTCATCACTGAAGGAAAAAAAAAATGACATTCATTATCGCAGAGTCTTGATTTAAAAGATTTGGCAGAGTAAAACTCTTAAAATATCCTACACGAATGTTAAACTTTGGGGGATGGTGTGTGGAGGCAAAAGCAGAGGATATAAATATATTGGGAATAATTTAAATAACCCCCTTTGCTATTTTAAAGCAAATCTGTCCAGGATTATGCATATGCAAATCTCACTGATTCCACTGTTTGTGAATATATTTGCAGAGGCCAAAATTTTTCAATTTTTAAGTCACAAGTCTTATAATAAAATGATACCATATGATATAAATTGGAGTGCACTTATATTATGTTCTTTTGTATGGCAATAAAATAAACTATAAAGTAAATGAAATAAAACCCTCCAGGTTATTCTCTTAGAATCTGTTGAAGTAGAGCAGGTTTTCTCTCTCACTCTTTCTCAAACAAGAACATCTGTAAAAAAAAAAAATTAATATTAAGAAAACACATAACCATTCTCCAAAGACAGACACATATAATAATTTTAATTATGCATACAGGTAATTCTTAACTGCCATATTTAATCTTGAGCTCTAAGAATTCTGTAGATATGATTTCTGGTTTCATTTAATTAATGGCAACACCATTAATTAAGAGTAGATGCTATTTCATCAAAGGTTTAGGAATTTGACTACATTTGCCCAATACATAGCATTTTAGATTATATTTCCATTCAGCAAACACATTGGCAAGTGTACTGTGATGTGAACACTCAGGTAATTATCTTACAGCACATATTAGGTCATTTGACAAGGTGGGGGGAAAGGGGACTGTGGGCTGGGGTGGGGCAGGTGGTGATATTGCTAGTCTGCTAATACCTATAACCAACTTGTACTTTGATTTTCTGCTTTTTAACACATAATATGCTGTCAATTTAGGTATTACTTCTGAGTGATCTTGATGTCTCAGAACGTATTTTAAATATAAGGTTTTGCATATTTGCATCCATGAATAATGTACAAGGAAGAAGAAATTCAATTGGCAAAATCACACCGTTTCTAGGATAATTTATAGATACAGAAAATTATCCATTTGGATTTAATAATTTTTCCTAAGGATGTAGAAAAAGTTTATACCCATACGAATATATATATGCATTTAGCACTTCTACTTGAGAATATCTGCATAGCCCCATCCCATAACAAATGCATGTGTATCTGTCTCTTCTCCAAACTTAAGTTTCTCATTTTGTCCATTCCTCTCTTCTTTAATATTTGATGATTTTGCAAAATCTTATCTTTATTGTATTTAAAATAAAAACTGTTCTACGGAATGATGAGCTGCAGGGTGGTGGGAAATGGGAAAAAAGGATGGTAAGGGATATATGTCTATAGATATATATTTCCACTTGCCAATATTGTTTAGATCAGAAAGCCTGGAAAGGAATGGCCAACACTAATGGCTTCTTCTCCTTGGATTTCAGATTCAAGGCCTCTTCCAGATGTCGCCCTGACTGGGAAGTGCACTCGTGAGTGTGATGAGTATGGCCACTCAGACTCCTGCTGGATGCCGGTCCGCACTTCTCCCGAGAGGAAGAAGAGCCAGCCCAAACTCTCCACTTTCATGCCTGTTGATGAACGAGGAAGCCAGGAAAAGCTGGCCAACGGCGAGGCCGCCATCATGGGTGACCGCAACAGAAACCTCCTGAACAAAAAGTTGACCTCGTCCTATGAGACCTTCAGTGCAGCTAGTTTCAGCAAAAATGAGGAAGCCAACCCTGAGGATATTCCCCTTACAAAAACAGGGGAATATAAGCCATCTCCTGTCAATACGCTCACTAGAAGAGAAGTTTACCTGTAGGCTATAAAGGAGCAACAGCAAAGTTCTTTTCATGTATGAGAAGGAGAATAAGGGGCAAGAAACCTTACAAAACAAAACCATTTAATCACAAAAAGGGGGCTACCAAAGAGACAAAGCTTTGCCTGCCACTTCTGCCTCCAGATCAGGCCTTTAGTGAAGCTGTTAGCCTGAATATAATGTACAACGTAGAGGCCATCCTTGTTATTTGCATGTCTAACCCCTTCACTGATTCCCAACACCCACCCTCTCTTCCCCACCCACCTCCAGCAACAAAAACAAGAAAAAAGATGGTTGCAAGTTTCTTTCATGGTAACAAGCCTGATTAGCAGAACACAACACACTCTCATTATCCCTAAGCTGAAGCATGATTTTAGTCACTTTGATTTTGTTCGAGTGTCATCCGGCTGGTCAAAAAAAGCAGGACAGGTAAAATATATTTCTGACATACCCTCAGAATGTGGTTAACCACCATCAATGGCAATCCTTGGAAAATGATAGAGTCCCTCTAAAGGTACAGTCCTTATAAAAGAGGACTCTATTAAAAAGCATTTCAGGAAGATCACAGCTTTAATATTCTAACACAAACTAAGAGCAAAACAATACTCAGTGGGTGATTGTGGTCTCAAATTAGGTGTGTCATTATTTTAACTCAAGAGCATCAACTTCAATTCCATACATTCACTGAATATTCTCAGTATAAACACAATCTTGATTATAGTTATGAATTATACTAATTTTGACTTGTAAAAATTATATATATACTTTTCAGAACAGGACCACTATTATCAGCTAACTTGAACAATTGTGTCATTAAAAGGCCAAAGATCATACAAGCAGATCAGGGAAATCATGAAGTTGATTTGGTCTTGATGTGGAAATCCGTTAAACAACAAAAACAACTGAATGCAGGCACACACAGAAACATTCAAATATTAGTTTATTTTATATAGTCTCTGTACCCAGAAAACATGCTTCTTCTTTTAAAATGGATTTTATTTGAAAGCTCAGAAAACAAAAAAAACTAATGAGACATGTGTTTGGTATTATAAGTCAATTGGTTGAGGTTCAAGTTTAGTTTCATATAATGTTATCAGGGAAGATTCCACTTTTTAAAGTTATATTTATGGGTAGTAAGGTAGGGAAAGAAAGATATATTGGCAGGCAGTCTTATTAGTCAAGTCCACTATTATTATTTTACAATCCAGGCTATACTTGTTGGCCTTCTTATCCACATTTCAAATTACAATTGCATTTTTTAATTGTTCAGTTCACACTTCCATACAACGCAAGTGCATTGATTTTGAATCCTGTGAAATATAGAACTATTTCAAGACACGCATCATTAAAACAAGGCAACACCCTAATTGACTTTGTCACTAGGTGATTTGAACATTATTTAATATGTATTAAACAAATCCAGACTGAACATGAAAGAAATGAGTTCTGGGCAGTGACATTTCTCACAGTATGTACATCTCAAAGTTGGAAAGTATGAAATTTTTCGTTGCAATTAAAAGAAACAGAATATGCAGATTTTGAGCCACTTGCTGTATCGAGGATGATTTAATACCATTGAAAACTGAGCTGGGACATTCAAACAAAAGTGACAATCCATGGACAGAATAGGAGATAACAGGTAAAAAGAGCAAACTTTCTTATCATTGAACGTTTGTAAACTGGTTAAGGTTTAGCCTTGATGGCTCTCTAGCAAACTGTAAAAACAATGTAGCTTTGGGTAGTTTCATGCTTTGCAGAAATTTCTTAGACTATAAGGTAAAGCAGCCTGGAATATAGGTTGATAATTCACTATAGGTCCTCAGAATACTTATCTTTGAAAACCATATCTCTGTTTGGTGGGCTACTCTTTTGGGGTCATTTCCTTACACTCTTTCTTGAATGGAGTTTTCATTTTGATGTTAGTTTATGTATAATAGGTAGTATGAAAAAAGGTATGTAATTGAAACAAAAACATTGGACTAAAATGTCAATAATTGAACATGTTTATGTTTGATTATTATTTACATTATGGAAAGATGCAATTCTAGTACTTTGTTAGGAAACTGCATTAAAGCAGTTCTGCCTTGTATAATCTGTAAGTACCTATTAAGATAAAATGCTTCTAAAGATAATTATGAAATGTATACATATTTTTTCTTGCACGTTACAAAGGAAATACTCAATTGCATAACACAGATGTTCAACAAACTTTTTTAAATGCATTTTTTTTCTTTCTTTCATGAAACACTTGAAACCACTAGATAGCTCATTTCACTCTATCTTAAAACCCTTCTGTTGTCTATAAAGCTAATACGGGTCATACTGGACCTTTGGATTAATTGGATCCACATTCCCCAATGATGTTTGCACCACATTCAAAATAGCCATGCCATTGTCATTTAACTCGTGAATCTCTCTTTAGAACTAAAATGGGTGTGAAAGAATAAAATTCAGTGTACTGTAAGTATTCACAGTAATTCTAGTAGAATTAGCTATCATAACATGTTTATTATATAATGAGCTGGCATGACACAGAAATATATTTTGTGTTTGTATGACTTTTATTTTGAATAGGTTAAATCTGGTGCCACTCCATATATAGAGTGCTTTTGAAAAAAAAAATCAATAAAAAGAAATAAAAAAAATAAATGAGTGAATGCAAAATAAGCAACTGTGCCTTTTATACCTGTTGTTACGGTAAAAAAACGGTTGTTGGGTTTGGACAATGAGGGGAAATGGGCTATTCCCAACTTTTTTGATCCTGTATATTTATCCATGTTTATTTTCTGAAAATAATAAATAATATATTAAAAATTTGCCTTCTGACAAACTCAGATAATGGACCAGTCTTAAATATTGTTCATTCATTAAACAAAATTAAGGCATTAAGATGGACTGCTTAAATCTGACTAGAAGGTGAAAGCATTTATTGTAAGACTAACACAGAGAAATATTATCAGGGGTGAAATCAGTTCATTTTGCAAGGTAAAATATTGATTTAGAATTTGTATTCTTTATTTCTTTTTTGTTGTTTTTTTCTTTTAGCTGCTGTTTCATTTTGGTTGTACGATATATAAACCATACTTGTTTTCTGTACACAGGACTCTCAAGTGAACTTTGCATGCGTTATACATGAGGACACATTTATAATGAGTAACTATATAAATTTATATGTATTAAAACGTTTGTAGCTTCAGTCTAAAATCTACTGCTCTTTCTGAATCTCCAGATATCATTTCTGTATGGTTTCTTACTGGCCTGCTGCCTGAGTTTCAGAAAACAAGAGGCATTATTTTTATGGGAGGAACTAAGATGCTACTGAGGATGTCTGACTGAAAGGCTACCCTAGGAAGCTGTTTTATAGGAAAATAAAATAAAACACACAGACCAGAAGAAACTGCCAAGTATCAAACAGCCATCCTAAAAAAGTCATGAGAAATCTGAAGATCTAAATCACTTTAGGTATATCAGTGATAAATAAATAAATGTGTCCTTAAGGGGAAAAAAAAAAGGAGCGAAGATGATCAGGAATACAATAAAACATTTTAGTTGTGACCCAGGCAGAGGTATACAACATCTGGAGAAAGGCATCATTTTTTCAGCTACCTAGGGTTCACTTTCAGACAACTTTTCCTACATTTTAAAGCACTTGCATTCAGTGTGGTACGATCTGTTTGTAATGTTAATCATTGACTATTGTTCTGCTACTTGGATGTTGATAGTGAAGCAGAGAACAATTTATCATCGTTTATTATGAGTCACTATGCACGCAACTATGCTAAACATGGCAAAATGTATTAAACACTCGTCCAACTATTTATGAAATACTTTACATAATTTAATTTGCTTTTGTACAGTTTTATGTAAATAAATTGCTTGTCATTTTTGTCTCTGCAAATTAAAATATAACATGGTCAAATGGTTTCACACTTGTAAGTGTACTTCTCTGTTGACAGGTAATTCAGTTTTGATTGGACGAGAAGTGAGTGGATGCATGTACCGGTCTGATATAAGATGGTTTGATTTCTGCTAAATTAGGATAGAGCAAGGAAGATAATGTGGCAGTAATTGTTGATTTGGAGGCACCATGCATAACTGTCACATTACGTTGCCTTAGAATAGAACTTGGATTATTCAGTTTCATCAAAGTAATTCCTGAAACAGTTACCTAAGCTGGCTTTAAAATCTTAAAATTTACAGTAGAAGGTCTTCTCATTAGTATAAAGACTGATTTTTTTTTTTTTTTTTTTTGCCAGCGGTATCTACAGAAATTTTACCTCTAAAATAAAATTAATTTGAAGTCAGAATGTATCTCTGTATAAGAAATGTTTGTTTGTAATCTAAATTAATGATGAATAGAAAAAAGTTTTAGACTTAAAAGAACTTCTATCATGTGGAGAAAATACCATGAAGCACAAAATAGAATTTTCACCTTGATTAACTCATTTTTTTCTTTAATTGGACTTTCTCTTTTTATATTTCTTTCAATCATTTATAATCTATTTTTCTAACCATTTCATTTCCTATTTTTTATAAGATTGTACTTCTGCCTATGGTTATCTTCTTTATTTTTTAATTGATATCCGTGCAAGCAAGCAACTTCTCTTCCCAATCCCTCAAACATGATCTTTCTTAAAAGAGGAAGAAAATGCTTCGTATGTATACCAATAGAGTGCGTGGAATTTTTGTTGCATCTCACGACAGTACTGGGAAAACCTACCTACTTGAAAAAATACTTCTAAAGATACCTGCTTTGAAATTTCTCTATCATTTTTCCCTCCCTTGTATGAAAATTCAACATACTTTATTTATATAGGATGACGTAGACTCTCTTGAATCAAAGATATCTTTGCAAATTCATTTTGACCGCCAATCTTTTTTCTCTAAAGAAGGAATTAGGGTAAAGTATGGTGAGAAAGTGCTTTCTTTGCACTTGTGGTGGAGTGAAGAAATGGCATATCCACTCACTTTGGCTTTCTGCTTTTCTAATAGTGAGAACCAAACATAAGTACATATTTCAATGGAACAGTACATAAAATAAGATTATTCTTCTTTTAGATTCTTGATTTAGATTTTGAAAAACATATTTATCTTTACCCTGAAAATGCATTCTTAGATTAAAATATTTAAAAACAGAACAAAATGAAAAACCCTCAAACATGTAAATATATGGTGATACACTTTAGAAAGAAGACAGATATGAAGTGCGCCAACAAAAGTTTCATAGTATTGTTTTCAAGGCCCGCCTAGGCTCGATTATTCTACTAACTCTGATTTGCTGGAAAAATTCTATCTCATAACTTAGAAGCTTTAATTTGTACAATGACCTATTCGTAACAATACTTTACTTTCATTGCACACATCCTGGTTTACAATGTGTTTTGATAAGATTTATCTCAAAATTTTCCTAATACCTGCAATAGAAGCTATAGAAACTTTTAGATGAGTCATGTATGAAGGTGAATTTTATTTCATTAAATAATTCTCAAATTAGTAAAAATTTGAACGGAAAGTTCTACCAATACTAACATTTTCTTCCCTCTACTGGCTTAGGTACTGATTCTCAAAAATTTGAACGGAAAGTTCTACCAATACTAACATTTTCTTCCCTCTACTGGCTTAGGTACTGATCAAAACATTTTCTATGATTAACCATAATGACAAGAAAAAGAAACTCCAAATCTTCGTGAATAAAACAGTCATTTGGTAAAGTGGAAATCTGGGGAGGGGAACACTAATTATGCAGATTGTCAGGTAAAATCTTCTCTCTTGACATCACACAACATACCCTGGTAGTAATTGTAACTTGTATAGAATTTCAGACAGCAAATTGTAAATCTTTTAAACATCATAGCCTAATTTCTTCCTGCTGGATAACCCTGGCCTAATCTATTAGGCAATGAGATTTTGGTGGACCTTGTATGGATAAATGGTCAGTCTAGCTTTGGACACTTGAATTATCACAACCGATGGTTGGCACTATCAACATTGATCAGGTAATTGTAGACTTCCCAAAATGACTTTAATTTCAACAGGCTGATTTCAAAAAGAAATCATCTACTGAGTTTTTGTCTCGTTCCTTTTCTCTTTTGACTTTTTCTTTTTTACTGAAACATAATTGATTGCACATATCTGTGGGGTACAGCATTGAATATCAATACCTATGTGCAATATGTGATGCTCAAATCAGGATTAGTATATTCAACATTACACAATGTAATCATTTTTGTGGCCCTTTTAACCTTTTTGTTTCTGCATCCCAAAGCTTTTTGCCACACTTTAAGAAGTTACCTGCTCTGTGTTTTTCCCCTTTCAAAAGCAAACCTAGTTTTCCCAGGATGCTGAGGTGGTGGTAGGTACCTAATTAAGGACTAGGATTTGCAATCCAATCAGCTTTATTTTAATGAAAATTTACAATATCAACTACTTGAGCCCTTAGGAAGCAGAGTGAATAGGGACTGAACTTGCATTTGTTTATTTTCTCTTATCTTTATCCCCTACTCTAATGCTTGTTTATAAACTGCATGGAGGAAGGTGATTAACCAAGATAATATAAATTTTCTAAGCTGCAGGAAGTGAGAAAAGGATATGAATATACAATACGGAAAGCTAAAAATTTCTGCTCTCCTTTAACTCTAACTTTATTTTTTCCTGTTGTGTCTCTTTTAAATGTAAATTTTATTCATTGGTAGTATTTAATATGTAAGAACCATACAGAAATAATTTTGTCTATTTATTGAACCTCCTGTGAGATGTAGAACATGCTTAATAGCTTATAAATGTAAAAGTTGCTCCGAACCATCTCAGATGATACTAAACAAAAATTGTAGTTTTTATTTTTTTCATTACAAGTTATAATGATTCAAAGGATCTTTTACCAGAAAGGGCATAAGAAAGATGCATGAGATAACAAAGTCATGTTAGATACAATCTTAGAAATTAGGATGGGATTTTTTTTTTTTTAAAGTTAATAATGTGCCTAATTTTTAAAAAATACTCTACTAAAGAAACATCTGAATAAGAAAACTAAAGAATGAGATAAAAACAAGGTATTTTGTTTTGGCAATTTAACTGAAAGTGCATTACAATATCCCAAATTTAGTAAAATTAGTGATAAATTGATGGGCTCATGTCAGTTTTTCTAAGTGGGCTTTATGCAATTATAAACAGAACATTTTTATTGCAGTTGTATGCATTGCTATAAAAATTTCACCACATATTTAAACTATCTTATACCACATTTATGTAAAGAGAGTGAAGGCAAAAAATACCAGAAAGAAGTAAAAAAAAAAAAAAAAAGTAATAATTGGCTAGATCATTTACTTACAGTTTTAACACCTGTCCTTAAGAGAAAAATAATTTTTTGAATGCATTTCTAGACCCTACAGTACAACTGGAATATACTAAAATAGCATTTCTTAAACTGGAGTTTGAGGTTCATTGAGAGACTGCAGACTTTTAGGGGTCCAGATATTCTATATAAATTTTAAGAGTTCTGAGTTTTATTAATATGACAATCAAAGTAATCTTTCAGCGTAGTTTTCAGTGACAATTCTCAGTTGAAGCTGATTTTTAATAGGATAAAATGTTCACTATATAAGTCAATGTTTATCTACTGTGTGAAAATTTGTATTCTCTGGAGTGCCTCCTTTTCCCCCCTTACAGAAGTACATGTTTTACTCAGTTGTGAGAGACACCAAATCAGAGATCTGGATAAGTAGCAAAGTATTAAACTGTGATTAATTGGAGTAAAGTACAAACATATCAGCATATATGAACTTTTTCTGTAAAGGACCAGATACTAAATCCTTTAGGCTTTGCAATTCAAGAAGCAAAATCAAGGATGCTGTGTAGATATTTATATGACAAGAAAGAAAACAAATTCTGAGATTTTTTTTTTTCAATCATTTAAATGATTTAAATGCATAAATCACATTCTTAGCCAAGGAGACATACAAAAGCAGCTGGTTTTGGCCAATGGATTTTAGTTTGCTGTCTCTAGTGTATACCTAAAATGACTTCAATTGATACTAATTCTAGAATCCATCACCAAAACTCCTCTTCTTAACGCCTTTCTTAAATATGTCCCTTTTGCCTAGAACAGTGCTGTTTTATGCTTTGTCCAGCAAAGTCATTAGTACTCATCCTTAAAAGATAAATTATATGGTTAACCTAGTTATCAGGGTCATTCCTTCCCATTAGCC